CAAACTAAGTTTAAGGTTCTGGTGAAATCCGTTTCGCGCGTCAAACTGAGTTTCAGACGTTAAACTGGTTTAAGATCGCTTGATGAAAATGGGCCTAAGGACCATTGATAAAGACAAGTATAGATAGCCCACTCCCTCACACTTTGTTGAACTCGCGCTTAGCTGCTGCCATCTATGAACGCAAATGCACAGCTGCGTTCTAAATCTTCTTGCGGGTTTGCGTCCCTGCTACTTGTTTTCAAGGTTTGCATCCCCACTATTATCGGCGACCCATACTTTAATTGGGATTAAGACATGTTTTTAATATTCAGTTTAATATATTTGTACAGTGGCAAGACATAACAAATATATCAAATTGAACATAAACATACTCCTAATCTCAATTAAAGTACTTCGACAGCCATTGGTTTTGGATATGTTGATAATAAAAAGTTCAAAAGCATTTTCAAATTTTTATTGCAGCAAATACATAGGCGAAACACCAAGCACCATTAATTTGTGAAAACTGTATCATGCAAACAACGAATCTTTGCTCAAAAAGCAAAATGATCACGTTATGAATCAAGGTTTAAGAAAATAAACAAATAATTCAATGTAACAACAAATGAATTAACTACTTAACCACAGTTATCAAAGCATACAGGGTGATTCAAAATTGGCTTCATTCCTTTGGAGGTGTTGTCTGGTGCTGTTATAGGAGTACAGAAAAAATAGTAAAATAAATTAATTGTTAATAAAAACTGAGAAATTTGCAAAAAACTATATCTGAAATACGGCAGCAATATTTTTGTTTGTGTTTGTTGTTTCATAATTATTTAAAACTTCGGTAACCATGGAATTATACAGACTGACAATAAGATAGACAAAGATAAACGGTAAATTCAACAAGATTTGTAGACGAATAGTCAACCTGTTCTCATAACCTCGAATTCTGCGGGGTTTGGTGTTTTCATAAATAATTCATACAACACCAAATATTTGAATGGTTAACTCCAAACAAGCTAGTGCCTGTGTAATCTCCTTATTATCCACTCTTATCAAGCAGCTTCTTGTATTCAGTTAATTAACTCGTGCTCCATTCGTATCTCCTTGTGATGTGTGTATTGTACAAACGTGGTAGGCTTAGCGGCTTAGGAAAGTGTCAGTTATTGTGCTCTGAGTACCCCTGGAAGGCACTGATTCGATTTTGTCCAATACTTGTTCCTCTGTGCCTGGAACCCGAACATCTATCGTCCACTATCTTCCTGGAACCACTCTCCCGCCCTTTGTTGGCGTGAGTTCTTTCAGCTTCTGCCATGTCACTGCAGCATTTCCCCTGAACTCATCGCATATCCGCAAATTTGTGAAAGGAAATTCAAAGTAAGTCACAGTTTGACAAATTATTGTTATGATTGACAAGGGCTATCCACCTGTAACTATCTGTTAATGACAAAAAAC